AAAATATTTGATTTCGATAATTTTAGTCATCCAACACCAACATGCTTTACAAAAAATAAGTATTAAAACACATGTTTGCATCATCTGTGATCGGTTACTTGATGAGTGGTTTTACGTTGTTTTTCCTCAGCTAAAGGAACAACTTGTAATGAGTGGGATCCAAAACGCAAAAGAAGCAGAACATATAATAGTGATTCGAAAAAAACACATAATATAAAGTCGGGACTGAAATAAAAAACTCATAAAAAGACACAGAATCTTAAAAGTAGAAGACAAGACAAGACTTGGTTTTAAGACTGAGAAGTGACATGAAGAGGAGCTTTTGTTTTAAGACCTTGGCTTCTCCTTCTTCTCCTTGAAGAGAGAAGTGAGGGAAACACCGGAAACCTTGACGACCTTGACCCTAACTCCGGGAATGTCTCCCACAGCATGACCCTTTCGACCAAATCCAGCAACCAAGACCTCGTCCTGCAACAGCATAAGCAAAAGATGATTCAACGTTTTGACAGAGAAACAAAATCCATAATTGGTCAACTACTAAACTTACATTTTCCTCAACGTAGTTCAAGCAACCATCGTTGGGAACAAAAGCGGCAATCTTCTTTCCATTCTTGATGAGCTGCACTCTAGCACACTTACGGATAGAAGAGTTAGGCTGCTTGGCCTCGATACCGCTGCACAATCAAATTCAGAGACTCATTAATGTCGACAATGTATATCTATAAATAAAAAAAGAAACTGTTACTAGCAAATTTACATTTTCTCAAGGACGATTCCTTTAGCGTGAGAAGTGTTAGCAAAAGGCTTCTTCCATTTATTTCCAAGGTGAGACTTCTTGTACTCTTTGTCTGCCCATCTCTGCTTGGTCCTACGCTGTTTCAGCTTGCGTCCAGCTCCCATACCCCTCGGCTTACTGTAAGGTATCATCACCAGATGCAACATCAGATTAAACAAATACAAAAACAAACACAAAGACCACCAAAGTAGAACTAGGAAGATATATAAATCCTTTGTCTCAAATTCATCACGACAAAAAATCCAATAACACTCTTAATCTCCTATTATCTATCCCTTTCCATCAAGAATTGACAAATTTAGAAAACAAGTACTTTGCAGGAGTGCAACTAACTAGAATCGAATTATGAATGCCAAAACACACGAGATCAGAGAGAGGAGAAACGTTACCCCATTTTTGTCGATTATTAGCGGCCAAGGAATTTTTGCAGCGGGCGAATCTGACAAGTTGAGACTCAAAATCAAAACCCTAAAACTTCCCGTTTATAATATACTAGAATAGGATCCGCGTTAATATGCGGGTAAACACATAAAAAAATATTAATATCAAATTTTAATTAGTAACTCCGTTTAATTATAAAAATATTTTGAAATATTTAAACTTGAATCTCAAATCATTAAAATTTGATTTATATCTTAATTCTCATGTCATAATTCATATTACGTAGGCAAAAAAATATATATACATAAATGAAATTCATAATGAGTAAGAATATCTGTTTTTTATTATTAAAAATTTGTATTAACTATATGATAAAATTTTATAACAATTTTAATATTTTAGAGTTAAATGATAAAGCAATAAATTTATGTGAGTAATCTCATAAAAACCTATTAAATATAAATCTTTGATTGATAAATGTATATACTGATAATTTATATAAGAAAATTAATAATATTATATTTTCTATTAATTTAATAGTGTATAAGGTTTGTTCTACTAAAAAAGGTTTGGGGAGTGTAAACCTCTATAAGAATAAAACGATGACATTAATGAAATGCAATTATGAATCATATACTTATGTGATGGTTCACGACATTATTTACAGTTTTTATGAGGTTATAATATAAAATTTACTTATTTCTAATTTAATTATATACTATTTTAATTGTTTTTATGTTTCTATCACATAATTCATAAATATTCATATTATATAAATATGGGATAGTTGCACAAATAACTCACAATTTGTGGTCAATGTCAAACCTATACCCCTTTATCCCCTCTCTCTTATTTTGCCACTTTTTCCCTTCTTTATCCTTCTCCTCACCACTTATTCACGAAAATGCCATTATATTCTGATTTTTTTTTTTTTTAATTTTGGAAATATTGGAAAATACACAAAAACCAAAAGATCTCAAGATATTTACGAAAATGCCATCTTCTTCAATTTTGCCAACCACCATAAACAACCGATTTTGAGCTCTAAATGCATCCCAACCGTTTTTTTTTAAGTGTAAATGCTCAATATCTCATCTCATTACCTATTCTCTTCATTTTCCTCACGAATTGCATCAAATA